TACACATTAAATTGGGCAGGGGACAGTATGAGGAAATGCAGATAGGGGAGGGTATCTAAATACCATCAGAATATATTGTATGAAAATCACAAAAATTCAATTCAATGAAAAATAATAAACTACTTTTAAAAATCCAAGGTACAGCTCATGGCTAGTGAGTAGCAGCAAAGAGATCTGAACATGCATCTATGGAGTCTCCTGGACCTGATGGCAGAAGGAGGAACCTTTATTGAGCATGAGAGTGTTTCCCAGCCTGTGCCATGAGGTATCAGTGTGACGTCCTCTGAATCAAACTCAAAAAGCATAGCTAGAACTGTGGTTCCATAAAAACTGTCAGCTGAGCCTTCACCTGGTTGATTAATCAACTCACATCATCTCATTTTATAAAGTTTATTTCTTCTTGGAGAAGTTCAGCCTTTGAAGACATAATTACAGCCTCACAAAACCAGGGAAAAGACCAATACTTCCCAACTCTGTGCTAAAGTCATGTTTTACCCAAAGTTAATGAACATGAAACAGAAGAAAACTAAGTCAAACCAAGTTCACTCTTTTTGAAAGACTGGAAAAACATAAGAGCAATTTTAAAACAACCCCAAATTACCCAGCATCCTCAGTGTGCGTAGACCACTGTGGAGATGTAGCCTCTCTTGTTCTCTCCTTGTTGAATGCAGAGGTAGTTATAAAGGCCGGGACTAGAAAAGGGAGAATTACATTGAATTTATGCAACCTCAGTACTCGCTTTCCCAAACTGGGTTCCATGCCTATCTAAGGTATCTATTTCTAAATGCAAAGATCTTGGCACACAAGGCACCAAGTGAGGCTGGTACAGGGTCCACTGAACCAAGAGCAAAGATTTGTATTCATGCAGATAGGTATAGAGGAAGTCACGGACCTCTGTGAGCACATTGCCTGCAGTTGTGAAAGAGTAAAGAAATGAGAGGGGCAGAAAAGAAGTCATCAGAAGAAAATGGAGAAGGGGCAAGGGACAAAAGAGGTATGGAGATTATACAATGAGAAAGAAATTGAGAGGAAAGGGAAAGGGAGGGAGGGAGGAAGGGAGGGAGGGAAATTGAAAGGTAGTAAAAAATAAAGTACAAAAATAGACAGGAGAGAGAAAGAAGACCAAAGAGAGAAAAGGGACAGGACAGGAAACAAGCAGAGAGAGGAAACGAGAAAGGATAAACGGAAGCAAAGGGAACGTGGGTGTTCCCAAGCCTCCTGGGAACCACAGCCTGGGGGCTTTGCCCACTGCACAGCCTGGTAATACTACCCAGTGCCAGCCAGCACAGCCAGTTCAATACAACCCTGGAGAAAGAAAGGTTCAAGTGGCCCTTCTTCCTTCTTTCCAAAGAAAAGGAGCCAGGATCCTCCGTCCTGCCTCTCATCTCCTCTACCTTGTCTGTGTATCTTACCTGTTTCATTGCTAAGTTTAGTGATATATACACAGATACACACAGTATCTGAAGGCAACCCCTTGATTCCACTCTGCTGTCAACTCAAGCAGGTAGAGTTTGCCTTGTTCATCACTATACCCCTAATGCACACACTCAGTAAATAGTGCATTGTACAATAAATACATAGGCAAGCGAACAAATAAAGATGTGTGATCGCCGCCATGACACTCAGGTCCGCTTCCTGTGGTCTGTGTTATACAGCGCTACTTTAGTATCTGTGGTCTTGGCTCCAGGACCCCCATACTATATCAGAATCCTTCAATGTTTTAAGCCCCTTAAACAAAATGGCATAGTATTTGCATTTAACCTATGTGCCTCCTCCTTTATACTTTTTTTTAGAAGTTCTTGGATCACTTGTAAGCCTCACATGTGTTAAATACACACTCTATCATTGGGCTACAGGCCCAGCTTTCCCCCAATACTTTAAATCATGTCTAGATTACTTATAATACCAATTTAAATAGTTGTTACTCTCTATTGTTTAGGGCTCAGCTTCCCAAACTGTGGGTCATGATCCCATGTGGAATCCTATAACTGAATTTGGAGATTGTAAAAATTTGGCAAGGGTAAAATGTTTATGAATGTGCAATGACCAAAAAGCAATTCAAAATCAAACGTACAGTGAGTGTAGGGTATTTCTGGCAGTGCTCTCCCACAATGCATCACATGACTTTACCACAGCTGTGGTTCTAAACATACATGTGCACTTTGACCATGCATACTGTCATGAAATGCAAGTAAATGTTGCCCAAAACATGTGCAAATGCACGTTCATACACACACAATCAATACCCCCCCCCAATACAAGTTCAGTACAATTTTTTCCCTAAATATTTCTAATCCTGCTGTGGTGAATCTGCAGATGTAGGCTCTACAGAAGAGGGAGGCTGATCGCACTGGGCCCATGAATGACTCAGTAGCCCTTCCAGCCTTTTGGCTCAGAAATTGGCCAATCCAGAGAAGGGTAGATGTGAGCTGATGTTAGGTTTTGAGATGCCAAAACCATCATTAACATGAGAGAGAAAAAAAAGCTTCATGCTTACATGTTGATTTTCCTGGCTCCTTACTGCCACAAGATGGCAGGCCTTAATTCTTTTTCAGATTTTTCTTTCTTTCTTTTTTCTTTTCTTTCTTTCTTTCTTTCTTTCTTCTTTCTTTCTTTTTTCTTTCTTTTCCTTCCTTTCTTTTTCTTCCTTCCTCCTTCCTTTCTTTTTTCTTCATTTTTATTAGAGACGTGAGCCCGTATTTCCATCTTTCCCTTGGCTCAGTTGATTTCTTTGGGGGATTAGACAAAGATCAAACCCCAGGTGCTTACCTGACTCCTCCGGCCACCATGTCCAGTTAAGCAACACGAGAGAAGCGTGGCCTAACACTTGCTCCCAGGAGTTGTAGGTATAGCTGTTGTTTCCTAGGTTAGCACTTCATCTCCTCCATGTGCAAATGCTCCGCACCTACAATAAAGCCTAGAGATCCCACTTCTAGGCTTCCTTCTTGCTGCCCTGATATGTTTGATTGTTTTCCACGGACAACTTGTTACACACGCTAAATGTGCCCAATATGTATGCATTTCTGAAATTCACAGAATTAAAAGCAATTAAATGCATATATCCAGATCTTTCTGAGCCAATGATCAGAAACAAAACTTCATGTTTTTTTCATATGTTTTCATTTTTGTTCTTTTGAAAAGTATTTTTATTCACTAGGTAAAGAATAAGTTTGTTACTACATCCCTCTAGTACCATGCAAGTTAGACTACAAGATTAGTGTAGGTTATATTTCCTTACGTTGAAACAGTATGTGGTCCCCTAATTTGTGCCATACGTATCATTACAATAGTTCAAAGGCAAGATACTTTAGTGTATAGCTCAGCAAACAAGAAATGAGTTTTAGAAATGGAAAATAAGCATATAACTATAGTTTCCAAAGCAAAACCAGACCTCATTGTTTCTTCATTTCACAGATGAGAAAACTGGCACAGAGAGTTAAGAAGCATGTTCAAGGCTCATGTCTGCTATGGCAGAGCTGGGCAGTGTCTTCCATGGTATACTTCTGAGAGTCACAGATTGCAGTTTGTTATTCTGTGTGTTATATTTCCTGTGATGTATTTAAATACTGCTTCATTTTCCCTGTCTGTAACAAATCACTATCCTCAATGTGAAGTCAGATTTCAGAAAGAAAGGGGCTAATCCTAGCCTGTCTGAGTCCTATCAGGCCCTGGAAGAGGAGAAGCAGAAGAGCCACAGTGAATTGCTAGTATAACCTCAGCATGAGGGCCCCCTGTGGTGCCATGGCCTGCTCATGTACAGAGTAATTTCATACCATATGTTCCCACTCATTACAGAAACTTTGTAAGGAGGTGCTATAGCAATTTTATTCCTCAGGAAACTAAGGCCCATGGAGATTCCATAAAGAGAAAATACTAGTACCTGACTCAGCAGACTCCCAATCTAGAAGAAACTCTGATGTGTGTGTGTGTGTGTGTGTGTGTGTGTGTGTGTGTGTGTGTGTGTGTGTGTGTGTGTGTGTGTGTGTGTGTGTGTGTGTGTGTGTGATGTGCAAGCATACATGCTTGTGCATGTAGATAACAGAGAACAACTTTGGGTGTAATCCCTCAGAAGCTGTCCACATTATTTTATGAGACATGATCTCCCACTGACCTGTCATTTGCTGAGTAGGCTACACTGGCTGGCCAGTGATCCCCAGAAATCCTCCTGCCTCCATCTCTCCAGCTTTGGGACTATAAGCACTTGTCACTACCCTGTACTTTCACCTTCTAGTCTTTAAGGCACTGTCCAAGGGTCTAGGACTATAGCTCAGTTGGTAGAGCAGTTTCTTAGCATATATGAAGCCTTGAGTTCTATCCCTAGCACTGTATAAAACCAGGCATGATGGTACATATATGTAATCCCAGCACTTAGGAGATAGAGGCAGGAAGATCAGAAGTTCAAGGTCATCCTCAGTTACACAGTAAGTTCAAGGCCTGTTTATGCTGTGTGTGTGTGTGTGTCTGTGTGTGTGTGTCTGTGTGTGTGTGTGTGT